CTGCTGCTGCTCGCATATTCTTTGTGTGGGGTGTTGCAGTTGCTGTCTCCTTTTCTTCTGCTGCTGCAGTTCTCTCTCTCTATATCTTTTTCTCTTCTTGCTGCTGCAGCTCCCCTCTCCCTGCTGCTGCAGGGGGGCCCCCGAGGGGCCCCGTAGCTGTTGGGGGCCCCCGGTACCCTCTGCCCCTCCAGGGGGCCCCCCTCTTCCTTCCTAGACCATGGCTGTCGACTCTTCTATACAAACCCAAACAGGGGCCCCCAATAGGGTACAGGGGCCCCCCAAGGGTAACCAGGGGGCCCCCAAGGTAGAGGAGGGGGCCCCTATGGGGCCCCCCAATGGTGAGCATGGGTCCACTAAAGAGAACCAGGGGCCCCCCATAGGGCCCCCCCCTCTGCAGGGGCCCCCTGGGGGCATAGAGGGGCCCCCTGGGGGCCCCCCTGGGAGCATAGAGGGGCCCCCTGGGGGGCCCCCTGGGGCCCTAGAGGGGCCCCCTGGGGGGCCCCCTGGGGGCCCCCCTGAAGAAGAAAGTTTTTTTGGTTTGCCTACGGCACTGCGGCCCGACGGCCGTCTCACCGCGACGGCGCTGAGGCCAACAAAGATTGAGTTGGGGCCCCTGAGGGGCCCCCACGGGAGCGCGCGGTGTACCCAGGTACGAGAGGCTGCAGCAGCAGCAGCAGCAGCAGCAGCAGCAGCAGCAGCAGGAACTGTAGAAGCAGAAGAAGAATATGTAGGAGGGATGTCTCAGCAGCAGCAGCAGCAGCAGCAGCAGCAGCAGCAGCAGAAGCAATTCTAGCAACGGGAGTGGAGGAGTTCCCAGCACCATCTACTGTACCTACAGCAGCAGCAGCAGCAGCAGCAGCTACTGCTGCTGCATGCATGCATGCATGCATGCATGTGTGTGTGTATGTGGTTTGCTGCTGCAGGGGCTGACGGTTGCGTTGGCTACTGTGGTGGGGCCCCTCGATACCCGGGGGGCCCCCCCCACCGAAGCAGGTATTAGTGTGTGCGTGAGGGCCCTCTATCAGCAGCCTACAGCAGCTCGTATGTCTGCTGCTGCTGCTGCAGCACGAGCAGCAGCAGCAGCAGGAGAGAGTCTAGGGGCCCAGCGCGAAGCAGCAGCAGCAGCATATGCTGCAGCAGCAGCAGCAGATAGAGGGGGGGGCCCCCAGGGCCCCTCATCTATAAAGAAACGTTCGCTTGACTGGGATAGATGTATGGAGCATAGGCTGCAGCAGCTGCTGCATGCAGCTGTCTATACACCCCAATTCCCTCGGTGTATTATACAAGTTGTTGTGCTGCTGCAGCAGGACGATGGCAGCAGAGAGTCTTGCTGCTGCAACGCAGCTTTTGCTGCTGCAGTGCATGCGGGGCTGCCTCTCCGCTGGCGTTGCTGGGCCCTTTCTTATGCTTCTCCTGCATCTTCTCCTTTGGGGGCCCCCCATGGGGGCCCCCACCAGGGGGGCCCCCACCAGGGGGGCCCCCAAGCAGGGGGGCCCCAGGGGGCCCCTCATACTGAAGGTACTGTGTATCTAGACCCCACAAGCGAGGAAGAAGCAGCAGCAGCAAAAGTAGAGTGTGTTATTACCGACCCCACCACTGGGTACTTGGTTGGGGCTTTCTCTTGCATGCGTTTAGAGGGCCCCAGCCGTTGCAGCATTGGGGGGCCCCTCGAGGCCCTGGGGGCACGGGGGGTACAGGGGGCCCCCCAGGGGGCCCTCAGGGGCCTCGCTGTTGCTGCAGCACGAGTTATCGATGAAAAAGTAAGACACCAAGTTGCAGAGATACTCAGAACCTCCACTGCAGCATGGGGCCCCCCAGCTGAGTAGGGGGCCCCCCCCCTACTCCTCCCGGGGGGGGGCCCCTAGGGGGGCCCCTAGGGGGGCCCCTAGGGGGGCCCCCAACCTGAGTAAGGGGGGCCCCCTGCAGTTCAGGGGGCCCCTAGCCCTAGGGGGCCCTCTGTAGCGTGAAAGGGGATCTAGGGGGGCCCCCTCTACCCCTTCTAGGGTTTAGAGGGTACTGGGGGCCCCCATTTGTTTTGCTTATAATTTATTATATATATATATATATATATATATATATATA